TTCTCATCTCTCTTGTTCCTCGCTTATTGCTGATAAGAGTTGATCACTGGTAAACTGCAAATGGCAGTGGTAGGAGCGAGCCCTGAGAAGAGCCAGTAGACTCAGCACAACTTCCAGAGTTCTCCTGGAAATCCGATGTCGAGATAAACTTACAGTGGGTGATCATTGTGTTTCTACGTCAAGTTTACCTTCGTTGTGAGGTTCAGTGAGCGGTTTTTAGCACGAGATAGCGGGAGTGGAGCGATTTTAACCGTCGTGGGGCCGCTTCACAATGGCGGGACCCATTGTCCGGGCATTTTAGCGGCCGGAAGGAGTTCCGCGGTTATTCTTGCCAAGCTGGAACCTGACTTCAAAGCTTGTTCCCCTGAATGAGAACCGTCGTAACAGACATGACGTTCAGGTTTCCCTTTTCTCTAATCAGGTTGCCCTTTGTTTAGGCAAAAACCTGTCCTGTTATCTTGCTTCGTCCAGTCTTCAGCAAAAGGTCATTACAGGACACCGGTTGTCATTGCGGATCCGATAACAAGGACAGTGAAGATCCCCAACTACAGCTTCACGGCGCCAGGCGCACTCGGCGGTACCTGAACCCAATCCATCCATCGGCGAGGATCTCCCAGGGCCGTGTCTCAGGACCCCAGGGGATAAGGAACCGTTATACGAATAGGGCTTTGCGAGAGGGCCGTCCAGAACTGCCGACTGGCCGGGAACCAGGATGCTGGGACCACTCAATTGTCATTAATATCACACAATAGTCCTGCAGGCCCTGGTCGTTACGTACCGCGGTTCGAACATCGACCTGCCGCGGTGTCAGCGATGAGACGCTGCTTCCGCAGAAGAAAGTTGTTCTGTTCCAGCGAGTGGTATTTAATGGTGATCTTGTTTTAGTACTACCGTAAAACAGGACAACACACACGGGGGGGAATTGTTGGGTCAGAAATGAGATAGGCATCGGCCAGTGGGCGGTGAAATATGAGATGCCTTTCTTTGCCCGCTCAGGGCCGAGAACATGTGCTCGCTAGGGGTTCGGTAACGGTGCCTCCCACATCGAGGCCATGTTCTTGCAGAATCTGGAACTGCAATCTGCAACATGCTGTTGCTTCTGATATTCTTCCTTTCCCAATGCTGCCCTATCCTGATGGTGGACTTTCTTGCTCTCCTTTTTCGTTCCTCTTTGCTGTCTTGCTCGGTCTAGTCAAGAGGACTCCATAAGTGTTCCCTCTACTCGTGGCTGGCATATTCTGGTGTAGTTCTTCTGGTCATTCACTTATTGTTTCTTTGCGGTCGTTTTACTCTGGAGGACTATCATTTCCCGTCCCATTCCTTGTCATGGACGCATTCACTACGGAGGCCTTCACCCTCCTGGGTGTTGGGCTATTCGTCATAGCACTTCGAACGGCTGCGAGGATTTCAAGCGTCGGAATGGGTGGTCTGAAAGCAGACGACTACCTCATGGTACTCGCCGCTGTAAGTTGCCATACTTGTATCTCGTCCCCCCACCCTACTAGCTAACACGCAAACCAGGGCGTATACTCAGTCGAGACGTACCTAGCCTACTCAGTAGGAGCCTACTGGCACGGCCTAGCCAACAATGGCATGACAGACGAGCAGCGTCGCCTCCTCTCCCCGTCGAGCGAGGAGTACCGCCTCCGAGTGAACGGCTCCAAGACCCAAGTGGCGGGGTGGTCGACCTACACGTTCCTCCTCTGGATCGTCAAGGCGAGCATGTGCACCTTCTACCTCCGCCTCACCGAGGGCCTGAACTCCTTCAAGATGCGCATCTACATCGGCTTCGTCCTGATCATCGTGACCTGGCTGGCCGTGCTCTTCTCGATCCTCTTCAGCTGTTTCCCCCTTGAGAAGAACTGGCAGATCTACCCCGATCCAGGCAACTTTTGCCAGCCGGCCATCTCGAGGGTCGACATCTTCGTCACCGTCGTGTTGAACGTGGTGACGGACATATACCTCCTCACCATCCCCATCCCGATGCTTTGGGGCTCTCGTCTCCCGCTGTTCAAGAAGGCGGGCTTGATAGTCCTCTTCTCAGGCGGCATCTTCGTCACAATGGCCGGCATCCTCCGCTGTGTCCTAATCGTCACTGTACGTTCTACTACTAATACTTCTCCTCCCCCACGTCGGTTACCCAACCTACTAACACGCACTCTTTCCCACCAGGACCCCGTACACGGTGCCCAACAAGCCGGCTCCTGGGCCTGCCGCGAGACCTTCGTGGCGGTAACGACCTCCAACCTGCCCATGATCTTCCCCCTGGCGCGACGTTTCCTGTCTCCCGTCTTCGGCAGCCTGCGCTCGCTCTCCTCCCGCCTCACGCCTGGGGGCTACGGCACCACCGGCCTCTCGCACTCCACCAAGCCGAAAACGGGGGAGCACTTCAAGCTGGAAGACAAGAACCCCCGGCGCGGGCAGGGCCCGCGGACGGCGAACCCGATCACGAATTTTACATTCTCGGAGAGCGAGGAGAGGATTGTGGAGAGTGCCCGGACGGATAGGGAGGGGATTGTGAGGGGAAGCCCACCCGACGGGAAGGGGATTATGAAGGAGGTCGTCGTCGATGTCACGGAGGAGAGGATGAGTCGGACTAAGTTTAGCGACGAGGAGGAGGGAGGGAGCGGGTTCGGGGGGCCGGCAGATTATTATTTGAGTCAACAGGCTAGGAGGAGCGAGGAGGCGAGGAGGGAGAGGGGGACGTTGAGGAAGGAGAAGAGGGGGAGTATGGTTGGGTTTGCGAGATGAAAGAAAGCGGGAAACTAAAATAGGGAGAGGAATTTGTTCGGTGTTTGATGTGTTCAGAGGCTGGCCTTGATGAAGCGCTCAGATGGGCTAGAGATGGATATATAAACTGGATACGCGAGGTAGAGAGGGAATCTCTTGCTGGAATAGACATTCTCTCTGGATTTTATCACAAGAGGTTCCAATCCGGCTTGTGGTTTTGGCATGGCCGTGCCAAGTTAAACCTTTACCACTTGATGTGTCAAGTAATAGTAACTACCACAAATCTAGGCGCCGATATCAACGGGTCCGTCCCCGCGCACGGAGACTTAGACGGGTCTAGCGGCCGGGCCCGTCCTTATCGCTGGTGGGTGGGGGGTTCGCTCACGGCGGGGTACCTCAACTCCACGAGCTCCTAAGAATGCTAAGATGACGTCGTCTTTACGACGGCAATCCTCTCTCTTGGCACGGAAGCGACGACGGAGGACGGCTCGGACGAGAACCCACCTACCTTTCTATTCACATTTTCCGGGGGATTTCTCGTCTTCCTTTTTCACGATACCCCTCACCGGATAGTGAAGGCAGGCACGAGGTTGTGAGGCCATCACCATCACTGCCACTCAATCACTCACTCACTCAATCACTCACTCAATACCACAACAATGTCTCCCCTCCGCCTCCCCTGTCTCCCCTCCAAGCTGCGCTTCGCCATCCCCGCCATCCCCCACCCCAAATGCCTCTCCGGCATCCCCCCCGCCGCGATCCGCATCATCTCCCTCCTCATCCTCATCAACGTCCTCGTCTGGGTAGTGGCCGGGATAATAGCGCACTACAACCCGCAGCTCATCGGCGCCTGCGCGCTGTCCTTCGTCCTGGGGCTCCGCCACGCGCTCGACGCGGACCACATCTCGGCCATCGACCTCATGACGCGCCGGCTCATCGCCTCCGGCCAGCGTCCCGTTACCGTGGGCACGTGGTTCAGTCTCGGGCACAGCACGATTGTGATCGTCACTTGCATTGTCGTCGCTGCCACGAGCGGCGCGCTGAGGGAGAAGTTTGAGGATTTCACGCGGGTGGGGAATATCATTGGTACGAGCGTTAGTGCGGCGTTTTTGCTGCTGCTTAGTGTGGGGAATGGGTGGGTGTTGTGGAGGTTGGTGGTGAGGTTGAGGGGTTTGTTGGCGGCGCAGAGGTTGAGGGATGGTGGTGTTGGGGAAGACGGGGAGGGTGGGGGAGAGGGAGGGGATGGGACGGCGGCGAACAACAACCATCTCGGACTGGACGGGGTGGGGTTCATGAGCAGGGTGTTTAGGAAGTTGTTTGTTATTGTCGACCGGCCGTGGAAGATGCTGCCTCTGGGCATGATGTTTGGGCTGGGGTTCGACACGAGTTCCGAGATTGCGATACTCGGCATTGCGAGTATACATGGTATGGAGGGGACGAGTCTGTGGTTGATATTGATATTTCCTGCGCTGTTTACTGGTAAGTGTGTTTACTGGCTTTGTTGAGACGATCAGATGCTGACAGGTTTAAATAGCCGGCATGTGTCTCGTCGACACCACCGACGGGGCGCTGATGATGGCGCTCTACACGTCCAAGGCGTTTTCTCGCGACCAGATCGCCATCCTGTACTACTCCGTCGTACTGACGGGCATCACGGTGTTTGTGTCGGCGTTCATCGGTATCATCCAGGTGCTCTCGCTGGCGCAGAATATTGCCGAGCCGGAGGGCAAGTTCTGGGACGGCGTCAGCGCCATCGGCGACCATTTCGACATCATCGGCGGCAGCATATGCGGGCTGTTCCTCGTGGTTGGTCTCGGGTCGGTGCTTGTCTACAAGCCCTGGAGGCGGAGGATGGACAGGGCTGGAACCATGGAACGGGTGCCGAGTTATGACGGGGAGGACGGGCGGGTAGCCGAGCAAGATCTGATCAGTCCGGTTGCCGAGTCTTTCGTCGAAGTCACTGCGGCTCCGGATTCGAAGGCAGTGCACAAGTGAGGCTGGACGATTGAACTCAACTTCATGACGGGACGGAGGCGCGCGACGCATTATCGACCTGACGCCAACCTCATCTTCCAAGTTTCAGCCTGGCAAGTTTCGGAAGTGGCATAGAAAGGATCATGTCGTGCTTCTTGGTATTGTCTTCCAGATACAAAAGCATCGCTTCATGCGTCACGATGGGCAAAAAGGAAAAGAAAAACGAGAGGGATTCGACCCTGTGAGCGACAACCTGAATAAAAAACCACTAAGGAGCAAAACAAAACAAAAAGGAATGGGTCGGCCGTGAATCGAACACGGGTCTCTTCGGAATTGGAGGATCGGAAACCGCACCACAACGAAGTATTCTACCTCTGAACTACCGGCCCTTTTCTATTCGGATGACAGGGGTTCGCCTTCGAAGGGCTAAATACCTTACCTGGTAGGAACGAGGGAGCAGGCACAGCCCAACTGGAAGGTGCAACGAGTGACAGATGCATGAGCTGGCGGAAGGTGCGGCGGTCTGACGGAAGGGCATCGGCGATGGCGAGAGAGAAGGAGCGCTCACGGGATCAGGGTACCTACCACAGGACTAGTACTTGGTATGAATTTCCCGACTGGAGGAGAGGTGGAAGGTAGGTGAAATTAAAGCCAGTGGAAGATCCAGTTCACACGCTGATAGATGCATCTTGAATTCGTATCGAAGCACAGGGGTTTCTTTGTTAGTGACTCACCATCGAAATCCAGGGTTAGGGTCAGGAGTCAGCCATAATATAACATCCCCTATCTTGCTCACAGTTCCATCACCATTGGATCAAACAAAATGCCAGAAATGCCCATCCCAAATAGCATGTCCTGCGTGTGGTCATTGCCATCGTCCGTACCGGGCACTTTCCTCCGAGTCCGGCATCGGCGGCTTTTCGCCCGAGGGGTTTGCCGTTCTTCTGTAATTGTAATTGGCGGGGTTACATCAGTTGCCGACCGGCAATGGGAATTCCAGCCGACGACACATTTACCTCCGTCGGCCACCTCTTACTCTCCTCTCTCAACTCTTATCGCAGTGCATGTTTCTCTTCCTCGTCAGTCTTTCACCCACGCAAATCCTCAATTGACCTCGCACAAGCCGCCAACATGAAGCTCCTCTACCCAACCTCGCTAGCAATCGACACCAAGTCCATCGAGGGCTTCCCCCTCACCCTGCACCCCTACGACGTCAAATCCCCCATCCCGGACGACCTCGTCGACGCTGAGATCCTTGTGACCTGGACCAACTCGGCCTCCAACCTCTCCGACGCCCACGCGCGCATGAAGAACCTCCGCTTCATCCAATCCCTCGCCGCGGGGCCCAACGACGTCCTCAACGCCGGCTTCGACCCGAAGAAGATCACCATCTGCACGGGGTCCGGGCTGCACGACCACACCGTCGCCGAGCACGCGCTGGGCATGCTGCTCAACGCCGCCCGCCGGTTCTACGAGATGCGCGACTACCAGCTGCAGGGGAAGTGGCCGGCCCACCTGGGCGGCGCGCAGCCCGACAGGCCGAAGGACAGGTTCACGACGCTGCGCGACGCGAAGGTTACGATCTGGGGGTACGGCAACATCGCCAAGACGCTGGCGCCCGTGCTCCTCCAGCTCGGCGCCACGGTGCGCGGTGTTGCCAGGACACCTGGCGTGCGCGCCCCGGGCGTGCAGATCTACAGCGACGACAACCTCGCCGAGATCCTGGCGGACACGGACGCGCTGGTCATGATCCTCCCCGGAGACGAGAGCACGAAGCACGTCATCAACGCCAAGACGCTGGCCATGCTGCCCAAGCACGCGGTCATCGTCAACGTCGGGCGGGGCACGAGCATTGACGAGGACGCGCTCGTGGAGGCGCTGGAGAAAGGGCGGTTGGGAGGCGCGCAGCTGGACGTGTTTCAGACGGAGCCGCTGCCTGATAACGACAGGTTGTTCAAGGTGCCGAACTTGGTCGTGTCGCCGCACGCTGCTGGTGGGCGGCCGCAGGGGGCGGAGGAGCTGATTGTGGGTAACCTCAGGAGGTTCCTCGCTGGACAGGAGTTGAGGAATGCGTTATGACAACTACAGGGGAAGGCAAAGCTGTGAGGGCGATAGACTTTTGGCATTTGGCACATTATATATATGCTAGACAGCGAGCCACTTCAATTAATGACCACACTTCTGTGGATGATCCGGACCATCAATATTGCCTAACAGTGAGGATGCATGGCAGACGGGTGCGGAGTCCTGACGTCAAGGAAACGGGGTATGCTTTGTACAATGGTCCGAATCAGCAGGCTATAGCCGAGCCGACAAAATTCACTTCCCGAAGTCCACCCTTCAATCAAGCATTTCACAACCGCAAAAGGCTTGAGCTTATCTATGAGTCCTTTTTTCTATAACCGCAGATTGCTTGACGGGTGACGAACACAAAAGAAACGATAGAATCTCATGCAAAAATAAAATCGACCCCGGCAGGACTCGAACCTGCAACCTCTGCCAGCAGTGGAAGACGACCGGAAAGCAACGCGCTACCATTGCGCCACGAGGCCGTGGAAAAGCTTGTTGAAATTTGTAACGCTATTAGCTTTCATGGTTTAAGGCCACGGTTCAACGGTGCGATCCAGGGAACTTGAAGCACAGTGCACAATAGACCTGGAGCAAAAGAATAACAAATGTCGTCAACAAAGAGTATACCCTCAGCAGTATTTATTTCAAGAGATAGGTTTAAAAGCTAGAACCCCGAATCCTGGTGCACAGCTGAATTCGGTACCGGTTCAAGTATTGACTCAATAAAGTGCCATTGTATTCTTAAACATGTTGTAAGTGACCAACTTACCTTACATCAATCTACTTTTGCACTCCCGACACCGACTTACTCATTCATAGGAAAATTCCTACACCCACAATCATTCCTCAAGCAATCCGGATCATAAGGGTGATCGACCGTCCCCTCCCAGTCATGTCCTTCCGTGCAGACGCACCCCGGGAGTCCGCAGAAAGGCGAGTACCCCTCCCTCACGTTCGTCTCGGCCTCGGACTCGCCGACGGGGCAGTCCATTCCGCACGACATGATAATGCCGTCGAGGTCGTCGTCGTCGTACGGCCTGTCGGGCGGCGGTCCGTAGAAGGGCCACGCGAATGTCGGGCAGTCGCAAACGGGCTGGCCTGTTGTCCAGCAGCGGGGGTTGGGGACGGGCTGGGACTCACATGCTGTTGTGGTGGGGAAATCGGACATGGCGGTGTCGCCGTCTTCGTCTTGAGGAGGATGAGCAGGAGCAGGAGTAGGCTCGTGGTGCTCGGCCTCGAGTTCGGACTCGGAAAGGGGCAGCTCGTCGTCACAAGGAACGGATAGCCTGCCCACCTGCGCGATGAGCTCCTCCAGCTCGTCGTCACAAGGAACGGATAGCCTGCCCACCTGCGCGATGAGCTCCTCCAGCTCGTCGTCACAAGGGACGGATAGCCTGCCCACCTTCGCGATGAGCTCCTCCAGCTCGTCTTCCTCGAGGTCTTCGACGTGCTCTTTCACGGCTTCTGGCATGTTGGCCGTGATGTCGCCGATGGAGAAGCTGGCGATGTCGTCGGCTAGGGAGTCGATGCCCTTGTCTGGTGTACCGCGGGCGGGGAGGGCGCCGCCGTTGACCTCCAGCAGCCAGCGGACCATGGCGCGGACGCGCTCGTTGGACTCCGTGGAAAGGGGGCGAGGCATGGTGGTCGTCGTGGTTTGATGTGGGATGTGGGATAAATCTGGTGGTGTTAGTGTTAGAGCTGGGTGGGAGACTTACCTCTGGTAAAGATATCTTGGAGCAAGGTGTTGTTAGTTGTTGTAGTTGTGGGTTTGGCGAAGAATAGAAATCGAGATGTAGCTCGCGGCCTCGGAGGAATATATAGTGGTCACCAGTCGCCTGGCAGGAGGACAGACAAAGGCGTGATAAGGAGCTGTGTAGACAAGGTCAGTGTGTTACAAGGAGGCTTTTGATAACGAACATGAACAAGACCATTGTTGTCTCGAGGAGGAGACAACAAAGCCGTCGATGTTCTTGCGGTCTGATGTCCGTCCGTACCTTTGAAGAACGCAATGGCTCTCTGTCAAGAACAAACTCTTTCAATGCCTATGCCTGTTCCCTTCAGCGTTCCTAACAATAGGGTTGTCGTCCTTTGTCCAGCCCATCCACCAGCTAGTGTCACCACGTATATCTCCTCCTCCCTCTGCCCTCGTTCTCCAAGTTTTCCTCCTCACCAACACGAACCATCAGGTAAGTACCCTCACCCCTCCGCTAACATCATCTTCTTAGATCAAGCCCGACCCTCTATCATGGAGGACAACAATACCAACCCGCCCCCGGGCTTATTCGACACACCCGACGTCCAGCACACCTGGACCTGGCTCCCCGTCCACGGCCACAAAGACAGCCGCTCCGTACTCATCCAAGCAATGATTCCCTGGATCGCCGCCCACAACCCCTACCCCAACTCCCCGGCCGAAGCCCTCGACACCTTCATCCAGGCCCTCGACACCTTCGCCCAGACCCTCGCCAACCGCTCGCTCTCCGACATCGATATACCCGCGCACGTCAAGGCCACCGCGCCGTTCCTGCTCGACCACATGGACGAAGACAAGTTGAAGTCCTTATTCAAGTACGCCGCCAAGCTATCCGTTACTGACACCGCAGCAGCAGGCGAGGCGGCGAAGACGCAGGAGGCGTTCAACAAGCTCCGCTGCTGGACGAGCGGCAACAAGGAGTGCACTTGTGTCGTGCGCACGCGACTCGTCGAGGGGGTCGTTCAGCACGAGGAGAAGGTGATGTGTGAGATGGACTGCCCCAAGGGATGCAGTGCTGACGAGATTACGGCTGAGTTGGGAGCTGTTGACGCGTTGCTCGATTCTACCGCGGTTTGTAACAGGCCGGGGTGTGGATGTATGTTGTCGGAGGAGGACCAGTCCGCTTCTGGCAAGTGTGAGAAGTGTGGGTCGGTTACTTGCGTCTGCGCGTTTGACGATTGGATTGATTGGGATGGTGGTGGTGGCAAGACTGAGTAAGTCGTGCGGTGAGCTGGTTGTTTAGTTACTTGGGTGAACTTGGTATTGCGCGTGGGGGCCAAGTGGCTCTCGAAGAGGCTGGACCTCGAGGATAGGGATAGTGAAAGATATAGAGAGATACCATCGGAGGTAGGAATATGATGGCAATTTCCAAAGCGACATTCTTGTGTTAGTTCCAAATTCTAAGCGAGACGTGACCTTTGTCTTCCACTGCTGGCAGAGGCTGTAGGTTCGAGTCCAGCCGGTGGCGATTCAATTTTGCACTTCCCGTTTTTGCTCCCCTTATTTTTGCTTGTATGCCATTGGATCCAATGACTCGAGATTCTTTTTTTCTTCTCGCCAACATCGCCCAAGACAGTCGCAAATTGCACTGTCGAATGAACAAACCATTGGTATAATTCTCCTCGCTTGGTATGGCCTACTCCAGAGTCTCTTCGCATTCTAGAGTTTCATGTCCTTCGCACGTGTCTGTAGCGTCAATGACGAACAACGGTCCCCACACCCGTTAGCGGGCTCTCACCGCAATTGTCTCCTTACAAGCATTCAGCTGGCATGCCAGGGGTTGCTTGAGGTACTTGTCGGCCAATCAAGTAGCCCTAGTCCGGTTGCCAATGCCGGTATCTGTGCGCTAGTTCAGATTGCGCGATCCATGGCAGATTCGCCGCCATCCACACTCTACCGTTCTTGGAATCATCTTGGGAGACCTGGGGGGGACAATTGGGGCCTTTTGCCTCCATTCTCGACATGACATCAGTGCGCCAAGCACACGCTTGCGATGCGATTTTGCGCGCAGAACCACTCAATGGCCAGCGCTCGGGACTTACACGACGAGATAGATCCCGCAGTTCTGGTCTTTGGGATCCTGAATGATTTAAAGATGGGCGGGGGGCCCGTCTGCTGTCCCGAGATGCAGGGACTTTTTGCTGGAGCGTCTCTGTGGGTGGTTTCAAAAGGCTGAAGAAAAAACCCTGACATCAGTGACGTCGGATATTAGTATCAGACTTCGGCAATACTTTGTGGGCGACGAGTAGATCGACACGACTCTCCCCTATCCTCTCCCGTCCTCTCCCGTCCCCTCCCTCCCTTCCCTTGTCGACCCTCGTGTCTTTCTGTCTCGCTTCCACCCCCTCGGGACAGTGATCATCCTCAGCGGTTACAAGGTAACCAAAACTCGAAACCTCCGAGATGTCACTCCCACAACGGGCCGACCACCACCTCGACGGCAAAGATGGGGAACTGTACGAATCCAACTCCTCCCCGGGCCCCTTCGCCGACGAGCGCGCCGACGCCTCCTCCGCCGAAGGCGACTTCTCCTCCATCGACCCGCACAGCGGCGTCAAGCGCGGCCTCAAGACGCGCCACCTCTCCATGATGGCCCTGGCCGGCATCATCGGCCCCGGCCTCCTCGTGGGCTCCGGCGGCGCGCTGGCTAACGGTGGGCCGGCCTCCCTGATCATCGGGTTCGGCGTCATCGGCATCATCGCGTTCAGCATCATGCAGAGTCTCGGCGAGCTCACGACGCTCTACCCCTCCGGCGGTGCCTTTACCGGACTGGCGGATCGGTTCGTGGATAAGGCCTTCGGCGTCGCGGTGGGTTGGAATTATTTCATCATCTGGTTCGCAGGTAAGCATTCACAGGAGAGAGAGGTTGAGTTGAGGGCGCGGTTGTGCTGAGGGTTAGGATTGTGTGCTTCCCGGCTTCTCGCCGCCCTCGTGGACTCGTCGACGACACCCTCAAGGCAACTCGAGATGTGCGACAAATGTTAACTAACCGTTACTTCCAGTGTTATCAAACGAGTACAACGTAATATCCTCTATCACGCATTTCTGGTCAGACAAGGTACCGGTTTGGGGGTATTTCCTCATATTTTGGTCCGTCTTCTTGGCCTTCCAGCTGCTGGGAGTCGAGGCATTCGGTGAGGCCGAGTTCTGGCTGGCACTGATCAAGCTCTTTGGTCTTGTGGCGTACTTCCTGTTCTCCATCGTGTAAGTTGCTGTTTCGTTCCCCATTGGCAGCCGGAGAAGAGAAACTGACATACCGCAGCTATGTGTCCGGCGGCATCAAGGGCACTCCCGCATTCGGCTTCCACTACTGGAACGATCCGGGAGCCTTCTCGCAGGGCTTCCGCGGCGTGGCCACCGTCTTCGTCTTCTGTAGCACCTTCTACGCCGGCGTCGAGTCCGTCGCCGTGGCCGCCACCGAGACGCGCAACCCGGGCGTCGCCGTGCCCCGCGCCATCCGCCAGGTCTTCTGGCGCATCATCTTCGTGTACATGGGCAGCGCCCTCTTCTTCGGCCTCACGTGCCCGTGGAACGCCGAGAGCCTGTCCAAGGGCTCCAGCCGGGCCCTCAAGTCGCCCATGACGGTGGCCATCCAGAACGCCGGCTGGGAAGGAGGGCGTGCACCTCATCAACGCCTTCATCTTCGTCACCTGCCTGTCGGCCGTCAACAGCTCCATCTACATCGGCAGCCGGACGCTGCTGTACATGGCGCAGGACAAGAAGGCGCCC